AAACCTGAGAACGCGCTGCGTTTTGCTTGCTGTTTTTCAACTTTTAAAAGCGGTATAGCCTCTGACGTTGCCTGCTTGACCGTCGTGCACGGTTATGAGAACCTAGCCTTAGTTTATCGCGGAACGTGCCTTTAATCATTTTTTTTCAAGCTGCTAAAGTAATATGGGTTGGCACATAAGTACTTTCGTTTTTTTCAACCGGAAATTTCGTTCCAAAGATGAAATGTTTTGCTAGCAAGCTTGATATCATCTGATAGGAAACTTCACGTAGTTTTAGAATATCAAAACGGCTTTGGTTGAGGGAATAATTTTTGTAGATTTTTCAGTCGTTGAAGTTGAAAGCGAAGTCGGCGAAAATTAGCACCTTCGACAACTGCCTCTATTTACGTATAGTCGAAGTGCTAAAATCGCTTAAGCTGCTCCATACATTTGGAAAAGGTCGAGCTAGAAGTTCCAGCAAGGGAATCTCAATAGGACGCTTTGGAACTAATTTCAAGAATTTCAAAGTTGGCAACCTTCACCTCGCCGATATTGGGCAGCTCACGTCTGTTCCACCTGAAATTTTATGCTAATATTTGAATGTTTCGCTGATATGTTTTGCATGTTCTGATAGCAAATTTCGTGCTCTATAAACTGCTATAGAAATCTGTTCTCCAGAGGTGTTTGCTTTCTGTTAAGTTCAGGTTATCATTACGGAACGCGAAGTCGTTGAGAACTAGCGTTCCGTTCTCCACGAATTTTATGCTAACATTTGAATGTTTTGCTAATGTGTTCTATATTTTCTGATAGCCAATTTCGTGCTCTATAACACCGCGTTGTTATTTTGAAAATCCGTTAGGTGAGCCTTGTGTTTTTCAGGTGGATAATATGGATATGGTCAGGTCGATAAGCATCAGCACTTCAGACATCTCCTCGTTTTCGCATTCACAGAGGTATCAGAGCTGCTGATGCTGCTCGGGAAATTCCGAAGTGTACGGAGAAGATGCCCTCTCTCTCAAAACAGCCCAAAATTGGTTCAGACGCTTCAAGAAGGTACTGATACCTCTGTTGAATGCGAAAACGAGGAGATGTCTAAAGTGCTGATGCTTACCGACCTGACCATATTCCATATTATCCACCTGAAAAACAAGGTTCACCTAAAGGATTTTCAAAATAACAACGCGGTGTTATAGAGCACGAAATTGGCTATCAGAAAATATAGAACACATTAGCGAAACATTCAAATGTTAGCATAAAATTCGTGGAGAACGGGAACGCTAGTTCTCAACGACTTCGCGTTCCGTAATGATAACCTGAACTTAACAGAAAGCAAACACCTCTGGAGAACAGATTTCTATAGCAGTGTTATAGAGCACGAAATTTGCTATCAGAACATGCAAAACATATCAGCGAAACGTTCAAATTAGCATAAAATTTCAGGTGGAACAGACGTGAGCTGCCCAATATCGGCGAGGTGAAGGTTGGTAACTTCAAAATTCTTGAAATTCGTTCCAAAGCGTCCTAGTGAGATTCCCTTGCTGGAACTTCTAGCTCGACCTTTTCCAAATGTATGGAGCAGCTTAAGCGATTTTAGCACTTCGACTATACGTAAATAGAGGCAGTTGTCGAAGGTGCTAATTTTCGCCAACTTCGCTTTCAACTTCAACGACTGAAAAATCCACAAAAATTATTCCCTCAACCAAAGCCGTTTTGATATTCTAAAACTACGTGAAGTTTCCTATCAGATGATATCAAGCTTGCTAGCAAAACATTTCATCTTTGGAACGAAATTTCGGGTTGAAAAAAACGAAAAAGTAACTATGTGTGAAACCCAAATACATCCACTTTCTGCGGCGAACATAACAACCTTGTCTAAAGAAGGTGTCTGAGTCTCAAGTGAGCGCGGAGCATGTCTTGAAGTCCCTTCACCCCCTTCAAGAAAAACACTTTTCCTAAGGTATTATAACAACCTGAAAATACGAGTTTTCCTAGGCAGAGGATATTTGGAGGAAATATCTGCTGTTGTCAATGGGTGTAAGAGAACACGAAACTTGGAAACATATCGACAGGAAAGAGTGATATCCATCATATGAGATTGAAAACAATGCATTTCGAGCATGCTTGAGGTAATCGATCTTTTCGATTCAATCGCCTCGCCTTAGAGGTCCTCCATCCGGTTCTAACTGGTAAAGTTAAAGCCAAACTGATTATGCCGTAACTCAGGCGGGACTCGAACAGCACCTAACGCTTGATGGGCGGCTGCGCTATCCATTGAACCACCGAGACTGCCGTCTTAATTGATGTTATATTGGAGTCCCGCCTGGACTCACGTCTTTCGCTCATAACTCAGCTATGTTGTTATAATATATCACCATTTACCAGAATCACATTATTCATTTGTCACTATCCGTTAACAGCCTGGTCGATGGCGGATGCAGGGGCGTGTCAGAGGGGCCTAGATTCGGCCGCCATACTCTAAAGCGACAACAGTTGGCGGAGACGGACTAGCGCTCTGCCAATACCCCCCTCCTGACCAGCGCAGTGAACCGGGTTGTGTTTCCTTATCCTTCGTTTACTGCTATTTATTATTTTTATTGTTTTATTGTTATTATTATTATCATTGGTGATTTATTACCATTGGTGATCGCTTTTCAGATACGAGAAGGCTGGCGAAAATCATGAAATGGTCATCGGCACCTATATGATAGAAACACGGGACTGCTTCTGATATTGTTGTCTGCATTTTTATTTTTAAATAACGAATATCTGAACAAAATCTTAAAATAAATTCATTCATAATTGTGCAGTTCAGTAAAGTGGGAATAAATTATGAAACGGCGACAAGCTGAGAGCGGAGGTAGTGCTGAGGAGGTCACGCGGCAGTGCCACTACGGTCGTCATTCAGTTGATTAGGCGGACAAATGGTCCGCAAACGCGGCCGCGGCGCGTCACGACCGGGCAAATCAGGTCTGTTTCCAGCCTACTGAGCCATTTCCTCTCTAATTTTAACCATTTTTTTTCAAGATGTGTTGTTTTGTGTCTTCATGAAGTGTATAAGGACGTGGATTCTTTTTTTTGAGGGGGTGGGGAAGGCTGAATAGGCTGGAAACAGCTGATCGTCGCGGTCGTGAAGCGCCGCAGCCGCGTCTGGCGATCCTTTTGCAGCCGCTAATCAACTGCCCGCAATGACGACTTAGCAAGTTTGCTTGGGCGAAACCTTGCTGCCTTGCTTTCTTCAACAGTTTGTGGGAAAGGGCTGCAGCCGCTCAAACTTGGCTCCTTGACACGCTCCAGCGTCTGCGACTGTATGACCCTTCTTGTTTTTCTAAGGTTTACTGTTGTGGCTCACCGAAAGCCAAATTTCTTTTTCGAAGTGCTAACGTCTGAGCTGGCGCCGTGCTCCCAGTCGGTCATGGTGTTCTTTCCAACGGATGGTGCCAGGGGGACAGGTTTTGTGGGCGGTGCCAGACCTTTGCAGCAAGCAGCAAAACTGTATCATATTGTTCATGGCAGCCGTCTCCCATAGATTCGCTTGCTCGCTCCAACAACTGGTGGAGAACGTGCTGGCAGCATGCTAAACGCAGCCTTACTGATACACCCCATCATCCGCGGCGAACAAGACTACAATACTTTTTTCAGTGTGGAGGTTCTCTATAAATGAGGGGACCCCCAAGGAGGTGCTAGGATTGTCAGCAGAAAATGAACACATGGTGTATCTCCAATACTTCATGAAAGCTGAACATTTCAGTCTTTTATGTTTTTATGGCATTTAAGCAGCGGTGATGCGATGACGTCATCGAACCACAACTTCCCCAACAAAATCAAATCAATGCTTATTTATTACATTAACCGTAGTAAAAACTTGGACAAGCATTATATTACATCATCATCATTTGACTATTATGAGCCCACTCTCTTCGGAGTTACTTTTAGCGGTTTCGGTGATGGATCATAAGGGATTATTGTCTCGGTTTGTGCATCTGGAGGCAGATTCATATGTGCTGAAAAGGGCCAAATTCATATGTGAATTTTGAAAAATTAGTTGAAATATTGGCAATGACAGTAATGGTATGAAATTATAATGGCAGATAAAATGATAATATACAGTAATAGGACAAACGAGCGACTGAATAGCATGAATTTTGAAGTCTTCTATAAAGTTTGGCCTCTGGTTGCTATTGTATCAGATGGTAACAGTGCCCCCTGCCAGTTTGAAAATTGTTGCATCAGACGGCAGTGTCCAGGAGGGCGAAACAGGCCCGCCCTCGAGCAGCCTTATTCACCAATGGTGATCGGTCCAGTGATCGAATTCAGGAAGAGAAGCAATCCAGTGGTGATACGTACCCGGATTGGCCTCAATTCCGTGGCAGCGACGCCGTTGCACCGCCCGACTTATTAACGACGATCAGTCAAACCTGTATTTGCACCAGCTGCTCCTATCCAAAGCGAGTACACTTGGCAAGGAGGCGCAGACAGTTCCGCACTCAATAGGGGAGCAAGTCTTTTTTGTATCCGTATACTACGTTTAGAGGCATTAGAAGCCTATATGAACTGGTGTCTACCTAAGGGGGGTGGGAGTAACCCGGCACCCAACTAGCGGAAGAGTGCAAGTCGGTATCAAGTAACCCCTACTTCTGGTTATACTTTGCTTACTGTCGTCACCTACGACCTGGAACGCTGTTGTAGGGCGCGACGTCGCACGCGACGGCCGCTAAGCGCGGCGGCCTGTGACTGTTTTGTCACATTCCCTGCTTGTGCCTTGATGTGTATGCTGCGCACGTCACCACTTACCCCTTCCCTTCCCCCCCCCCCCCGGCCCTTCCGCATAGCCCTCGACGACTATTTAGCCAGAAAGAAAAAAACCAACCACAAACCCAGGCGCGACAGCGGCTCTCATAGAAAACGACTAACTCGCAGCAAATTTCTCATAGGCTTTCTAACACAATTGGGGCCAGACCTGTCGGCTGTTCAGGTTGTTTGACCTTCTTCAGACAAGGTGGCAAGGTACACTGGACAAGGTAGAAGTTCTTGTTCATCTCCAGTATACCAAGCACATCGGCAGGTAGAGCCACATCCAGCTGTAATCACACCAATGAAGCGATCGCATTCTTTTGCATGTCGCACGGCTGTCTTGGTCTAGCAGTATTTCCTGGAGAAGCCAGGTAAAAATAGACTATATACAAATTCCGCGATAATCGGATGGGCGGAGAAATGGGTGCGGCGCTGCAGGAACCAGACTTGGGCCTTTTCTGCATAGGTTCGTCTTGTCCTCTACGCTAAAAGGGGCACAGGACCATGTAAGTTAAGGCAGCCATGGAGTGGCTAGTTCCTAAGAGGGGGCGAGAGGAGTTTAATATGAACTCCTTGCCAACAAAACAGACTTCCGTAATGGAGGTAAAGAATCGTGTGCAGCTCAAGGAGCCGAAGAACGGCGCTAGGTGAACAAAATTCAAGTATGGTAATTTACTCCCACTGCAGCAAATCCCAGTTTAGTACAAGGAGTCCTCCAAGTGGCCCGTCTCCAAGGCTATTAAGGCCGCACAAATTTGATACGAGTCTCTCCGCTCCACTCGATTATCACAGAATATGCCCTCACACTATGCTAGAATTGCGCCTTCGCTGTTTAAGCCAGTTGAGCACAATTGAAGGATTCATCAGTCCCGAGGACTGAAACTAGTTAAAGATTAAGTAGTATCAGTGATTGATAACAAACGAGTAAAGTACCGATGCTTTAGGAGCTTCGAGTGCTGGTGTAGAAGCTCCGGGAGGGGCCCCGGGTGCACCAGGGGCGCCTTGACTTCTTGGAATTAATGGAGGCAGAGGTGCAAATACGCATCGTTCAAGTGTCAGAGTTACTCGTTTCGACGAGTTTATGACTTCCATAATCACTTGCAAACTGTGTTGAATTGACGCGATATATGGTTCCCATAATGGAAACCAGAAGTCTACTTGCGAGCCACGTCCCTATCGAATACATCGGTGGCGTTCACCTTCAAAAGAATATCTCCAGCCTTGACCACCTTGGATGCAGTGCATCCACTTTCAACCATCGCTATTACAACACGGCCAGAGAAGTCCTGGATACAATAAAAGTCTGTGATATTTTTGTGAAATCAAGCGCTTATCGCAGCTCCTCCTCCTTGGGGGACAGGCGATTCTATAGGGGCCAATGGGGTGGCCGCGCTCATATCGCGCGCGGCGAACCGTGCGACACCCCATGCAGCTATTCCGAATTCGCTTGCCTTACAAGATTTGCCGTTGAAGCAAGGGATCGAATCTCACGCCAACTCTAGTCCTTCCTCATTTGCCCTTATTCCCCCTTTCCTTTCTCCTAAATCGCTCTATTTGTCCCTACAAGCACTACGTCAGTTTTAGTCGCCGCGTGCGACGATCGCGCGCATGGCGACATTATTGATCCAACCGTCACTCTTTTACCTATGCCCACCCCATCTTGTTGCGTGCTATCTCTACGAATCTGCTTCTCCACGTCCCCTATGATGCGGTCACGTAGCCACTGAATGTATCATGATATATGTTTGCAGCTTGACGCGTTTTCCTGGTCGGATAACTCGTCCAGATCACTCAACCATCATGGGTTTTTTGATTGTACGCCTACTACAAGTTTTTGAAGTTGACTTCTGTGCCCCTTCCTTTTCAATCATCACGTCCTTCTGTGAATAATTCCTATGCCTTCTTGTCGCTAACACTCGAAACTCTTATTTCCAAATAGAACCTCTCGCTAAACTGAAAATATTTCGCGCTCACCCTGTGTATAAGGAGCCCGATTGGAGTGCCTCCGGATCTCCATATTAGAGTCATTTCAAACATGTCATACCCAGGTTTCCTTTGAGGCAAAGCTGAAAGGAATATCAGTACATCGTAAGGGTTAAGAATTGAGATAGTGTTGCAACGAACCACATAAAGCTTTGTTATGCAAAAAGTGAAAAAACGCCGTGGCTGTCGACAAGTTTGCTCATCGAGAGTCGCGTTCCCCTCAGGCTGCATACTTGATATCTTTGCAGCAGCGTCCATTGGCGTTCCGAGCGACTGGCAAGGTCAGCGACTAGCAAAGCATAGATATCGATCTAGCGTCCACAGGGACCAGCAGCGGCCAAGAGTAGAGAGCACGGGCGATAGGAGGGCATCAGGCAGCTGGTAGAGCATGGGGAGACAAGAGGGTAGCAAACAGCTGGCAAATGTTGTGGGGCGATAGGAGTACCAGCTGTCTGCTACCCTCCCGTCGCCCCATACTCTCCACTCCTGGGCGCTGCTGGTCGCTAGTGGATGCTGGTGGACCCGCTTCTGGTCTGCTGGCCGCTAAATCGATACCTATACTTCGTTGACCCTTGAAACGCTGCTTATTTTGCTAATGGTCGCTTGTGGATGCTGGTGGAAGCTGATAGACACTGCTGATCGCTAGATCGATAGCTATACTTTCCCAGTCGCTTGATGTTGGCCGGACGCTCGCAACGCTGGTGGACGCTATTGGTCGCTGGTGAACGCTGCCCTAAACGCAGCATTACTTCTTAATTGGTGTCGGACCTGTGCTATGTCATTTGTAACCAACATAATCAATAGTCGTTTTTCCAATGCAATTAAAGACAGCGCCCGCGATGGACTTTGGCAGGTCTCAGGGGTCAAATTTGTTAGAACAGGTGGCCAATGAGCACTAAAATGGCGAAAAAAAAACGGAGTGAATTGGTCAGAAACCTTAGAAGGAAAGAGTTCGTTCTTAATGACTCGAAAAGCAATTTCGGACGAGTTTCCCAGGCATCTTGCCAATAACCGCTACGGTAGGTACGGCTGCACGTATGTACTCATATATCCATGCAGCACCGCGGCCGCTTCATACCAATCCCTTCGCTTCATATTTTACTTAGCAAATGAAGCAATACGAGCATCAGGTACGGTCGTCCATTTGTGGGCGGGGCGTGGTGGGCGTTCGGGTCGGTATGTTGTAGCTTGATAGGGCCCTTATAAGGGCACCTCCTTGGAAAAGGCGCTATGCAGCGCCTGCTCAGGGTCGCGGAATTCCGTCCTGCCAGGCGTATTAATCCTACTCGTCTTGGGATTTATCGTGCCAACTGCCTTTAAGCTGCCGCGGGAGATGAAAAGTTTGGCTGATATCACTTGGAGATCTTGACAGAGATTTCCGAATAACTCACTGCAATTCGTATTCCTTCTTGCACTGTGCCACATCCCTGCAGAACAGTTTGACGATACAAATAGGAAGCCACTGTGGAGCTGGAAAATGTCTTGTGAAACCTGGAAGGGTGCTTCACTGCAAGGGTGCTCATTTATGGGCAAAAAATTCAGGAACAGACAGGAATCGACCTCATACCATTAATCGAGACACTATTTCAATCCCTTCAAGCATATATTTCTAGACCGAATCGGTCGGTACTGTGTGGTCAAGGGGCTGTTGTACGAGAAGCCGATACTACGTCTCATTCGTGTTGATGTAC